GAGTTCGTTCTTCTTTCTCCTACCTGTGGAAGTCTTCCCACTTCCTCACATGCAGTGTCTTGTTCTGTAGGTTGAAGACCTCGAGCATGCGTTCCATGCCGAAGTCGCTGCCTCAACCTCTGACTGTAGCCTTTTGTAGTTGAGGAATGTTTATTTTCCTCGCCAGCTTGAGTTTCATTGTTCCATCTATGGGTCCAATATTTGCAACTATCTTTCTCAGGGCTTCTATGCTATTTGGATTTTCAAAATACAGCATTGTATAGTCCCCTTTGAAAGCGCAGCTGTCTAGTTCAATGGAGTCCCCTCCTTGTCGTAGGTACTCCATGATCTTGCTGTTGACCGCATTCCTTATGGATTTCCTTCTTTAGTTTACCGGACGCACTATTCCCGTCGATCACTGCATATCAGAGCTTGTCTCAATAGCGTTTCCTGGCATAAGACGGCGGCTCGTTACCATCTGTTGCTGTCATCTTCCTTTTTTGCAAATACCGGTTGGTCCTTTTGGGATTCCCGATCTTTGCGAAAAATTCCGACCCGCTCTCGCCTTTCTGGTATCAGAGCCAGCTTCGTCTGCCCTCGTCAGTGGATTCCTTTGACGTTGGTTTGACTTAGCTTTCTCTTTCTATCAGTCGACGGGAAGCTCTTTTTCTTCTTGGCAGATTTGACAGTCGCCTGCTCATCCGGAGACTTTATCCTCTTGGCCGCTTCCCCAGAAGTGGAGGGAAGGTCAGGCTTTTGAGCCTCTGTCTACATCTCGCCCTTTTTGTTCATCTGTTCATGCTGGCCAACTTCCGGCTTTGTGCACCAGACAACTGCTTCTTCCTGGTTGTGAGTTTGGCGATATCCTTACTCACCTCCTCTATCATCTTGTCAGCCCCTTCTATCTTCCGGCTCTCCAAGACGGTTATGTTTGTTAGATTATCATGATCAGACCCAGGGTTCGAAGTTGACTTTCCTCCTGTCTCTGAAGGCTGGGTCGAAATTGCTCTTCTCCTGTGGTTCCTCAACTCCGAGTTGGTGTTGCCCGAAGGCTGGGTGCTTGTAGCTATACCTTCGTCTACAGATGCCAAGATACACACATCTGTAGGAGATTGTTGCTCAGGTTCGCGGAATGACGACGGGACATGACTCGTGGGCAGATTAACGACACCCGCTGGTACTAAGTTATTTATGCTCTGCACCGTAACTTTATTAATTTTTCTTTTTCCATCTTTTGTTTTTTGTTGTTGAATCCTGAAAATACTGTTTAAAAATCCACGGCTTCTGTGAGTCCTTCAAAAATATTTTTAAAAATCCACACCTTGTGTTGATGCTTGAAAAAACGTTTTAAAAAATTCTCGCCTTCAGATTCAGGTGTGAATATTTCTTTATAAAAAATTATCATTTTTTTTGCTTTAGCAATTTTTTTTTCAAAATTTTTCCTCGAGTGTTAATCCTCCTTAATATCATCAACCCGAGTTACTAGTTAATGTAGTTACTTGTTGGTTGCCTTTTTTGGCCAATCCGACCCGACCGCCAACACCACACCACACACATAGAGACGATGTGCCCAAAAAATATTATTTCGTTGGGATATTTTTATTGTTGTTGATTTTCGATTTTATTTCTTTCCTGGGGGTTATTAAACAAATGCAAAACAAGCGATAATAACTGCAACATAAAACATCAACTCCAACACCATAACATTCGACGACTCCACTCCAAGTGAGACAGGTAACAACACTAAAAAACGCAACACCAACAACACGAAGATCGACACCGACAGTATGGGGAGCAGTCACACATTTTCTTCATATGTTTCCCACCTACCCCCTCCTTTTGCGACTTTTGTGTGCATAAATTTAAATAATTTATTGAATTTTATGCAATGCGATGCAATTGCAATGGTTTTCAATTCAAAAACCCTTAAGCCAATCATAAAGACTTGTAATGAGTTTTTCCAAATTTGCTTGGTCGTCTTCCTCCATCTGCTGCTCCCGCTCTCCACCCCCACCCACCTGGCTTTACTTTCAATTATTTGGTTTTTGAGGTGGCAAACTTTTGATCTCATTGTCATGGGAAATGTCATGATCCAAAGACATTTTATACGTATTTCACGACTAGGTAGGTGGGGTGGGGTAGGCCGGCCGGTGGACTCTTGTATTTACCATAACCGTAAACATTTCATTTATTTTATTGTTGTAGTTGCAGGCATTTTTTGTTTGGAATATTAAGGAAATACACGACAAATGCTAGGCTATGTGGGGATTTCCTTCTTATGGGGTTTGTTGTCTTTATTTATTTTCATTTTCATTTTTTTGCTTTATTAAATATTAATGGATATTCAAAACTATATTTTTTTGGCAAGATATCGATATGAACTGTAATAATGTTTGGAATACAAACATTTTTTATTTGTAGAAGAAAGTGAAAATGAAAACTCGGGATAGTTATGTCAAAAGATCAGTGCCATCAGATGGATAAATTGCAAATGAAATCATTTGTTGGAGATCTTTTTTTTTGGGTGGAAAAAAAGTTATGAATGACAAATAAATGTGGTGGGCAGGACAAACAACAAGTACGGAAGAGATGGAATGTGTGAGTTTAAGGATTTGATAACAAAAATGCCAAACTTCATCAATAGGCGTGAATTTTTTAATAACAATTTTAAGGACCACAAATAGACGTGGGTTTTTAAAGAATATTTTTTCAAGGACGACCAACATAAAGAAACATCTTACAACGGCATGAGGTTGATTGACTTCGCGGCAGCAAAAAACATGGTAGTTAGCATCACCATATTCAAGCATCTCGATATACACAAGGCAACCTGGATTTCTGCGGCTACAATGCGGCTTCAAACCTGGCAAATCCATCAATGACCAGATTTTCACTCCTGGAAAAGACCCACGAAAAACACATCGACTATAAAGCCGAATTCGACAGTCCTATCCGTTCAGAGGCGTTTAAAGCCATATACATATATGTTCGGCATTCCTGCAAAATTAACACGGCTATGCAGGATAACTTTAAGAGGCACAAGATCAGCAGTTAAAATCGGAAAGGACTACGGACCCCAAACGGGCGTGGATTCTTAAACAATATTTTTTCAATTACCACCAATGGACGTGGATTATAAAAGAAAAAATTTTCATGGAGTTTTTTTACATTTGACACACCGTGAGGACTAAAAATAAATTTTTGCAGTCAATTCAGTTGAAAAACATATTCAAACTCTCTAAAATACTGAAACTCGAGAAGTACTGTTATATGGGGTTTGCCATAAAAAGTGGACCAATATTGAAAATTTTTGGTAGAAATATTTGGAAGCCACTGAGAACCATAAATGTCAAATATGTTGCCATTCAGTTGAGAAACGTGTCCAATATTCTCAAAATGCAGAACATTTTTGGTACCGATATTCACAACTACAAAATTGCAGTCAATTTGTTTGAAAAACATATCCAAGCTCCCTAAAATCACGAAATTTGGGATTTTTTTTGTCAAATTTAATTTTTACGAAGTATGTTCATATCACAAAAAAGTATTTATGAAAGAAAAAAGTCTGAAACCATCAATAGTATCGATAGTTTGCGAACACTAGCTTAAAGATTTATGTGAATTCCCCTTTAGCGCGTACCAACAATTTTTACTGGCCAAATCAAATGTAAATAGCACTAATTTAGGGGAATTCCCTTTTTTACACGGTTTTTTTTTACACGTCTTCTTCTGGAACCAATCTACCGTGTAAAAACAGACTTATAGGTAAATTCTTTTGAAAATGTGCCCAAGCACCCTAATATACCGCAATTTGCGAGGTAATGTTGTGGGAGGTAAGAATTGATCCAAAATTGATAAGATTTAATAGGAACATTTGTTACACCATGAGAATAAAAAATATACAATTACAGCTAATTTGATTGATAAACGCACTGAAGCTCCCAAAAATACCGAAATGTTGGAGGTACCGTTGTGTGGGAGCCACCTTTAAGAATTGAACCAAAATTGATAAGATTTAGTAGGAGAATCAAAAAAACAAAATTACAGGCAATTTGGGAGACATATGGACATTTGGAAGTTACCGATACATGGCGGTTACCCTCAAAAGTTAATCTATATTAATAATATTTAGTAGAAAGATTTTCTACACAATTACAAAATATTAACCAAAATACGAAATTATATTCAATTCGATTGAAAAACGTACCCAAGCTTCCTAAAATACCGAAATTTGGGATATACGCCTAATGCCTGATGGGGGAGGTACCAGAAGGAGAGGGCAGATGGGTCTCACCTTGGTAAAGATAATTGGTTATGCAAAATTTGGTCCTAATTGGACATTCTATTCGCCAAATATTCAATGTATAAATTTTGAAAATGTGGAGGAGGTACCCGAAAAGCGGACCAATGGGTCTCATATTCAGACAGGGTCTAGGCGTGGTAATGATAATAGGTTGTGCAAAGGATGGTTCAAATCCATTCCACTGATATTGTATTTATAAATGTTGAAAATTTTGACCCAGAAGAAGAGGATCAATGAATCAAATCTTCATAATTGATCTAGACTTGGTAAAGATAATAGGTTGTGTAAAGTTTGGATGAAATCGGACATACAATTCACCTAATATAAATCAAATCGGATACTCCCTTCAAGAGTCTAACTGGGCCAACGTCTGTCGCCTCTTGCGTAAAAACTCTAAATTATTTGAAATGGATTTATTCCTAAGAAACTTAGGTTCTAAAATCGATATTTCCTTGAGGCACATTTTAATCATAGGAACCTGTATATACCTTCATTAGCCATAAGGCTGTGAGTATAAACATTTTCTTCCATTCCGCATTTGTATACCGTCCTATTGGATCATATTTCGAAAATCTTTCCGTAATAATTCTTTAAAAAAATCTGTCGTCCTATTGTTGTTGCTATTTAAAAAATCAGCTTCATCATGTTTATAAAAATAATTTCATCATATAAAAATAGAAATGAAAAACAGCAACGTGTTCGTTGTTCTCCGGCTTACCTTTCTGTTTTATCAGCTGAGGCATCCGCGGCGGCATTGTTATCATTAAAATCAGAATTGTCAACACGCTTTGTGTGTTCATTATCGTCGTTCTGGTTGTCAGCCACAATATTTGGCATATGCGGCTGCTGCCCTTGTTCTTCCGCCAATGCGTCGTCGTGGTCGTCGACCGCCCCCAAATTACCATGTTTACCGGTATTTGACACAATGACATTGTCATTATTTATATTATTTTCACTAGATTCTAAATTACTAGTCTCCGACGGTGGAGACCTATCATTATTATTTCCATTATTGCTGCTATGATCACTGTTCGCTTCCACTTGGCCGGTATTTACCACCTCCTGCACAACCGGCAAATTAAATAGATTTTGTTCATTTTGTCCCGGCACTTGATTGCTGGGCGCCGTATCTGCTGCAGGTGCATGACTGGGAGGCGCTGATTTTAGGCCAATTAACTTTTTCACTTTTTTATAATTTGGTAAAATATTTATGACTTTTGCACGACGATTTCCAGCGCCATTTAATGACGGTTTGTTATTCTTTGATAGAGGGGAATCAGCTGATTTCGTGTTCTCCTCTCTGCCATCGACGCTCTCTGCATTATTATTCGTTGTTGTTGTTGTTACGCGAGCAGCAGCATTGGGGGAGTAATCTGATGCCAATGTGGCGTCATTTGTCTTCATATATTCAAGAGTCACTGTATGCTGTTGATGTTGTTGTTGCTGCTGTTGCTTTGCATTCTCCGAGGCAACAACATAAAACAGGAAGCAACTGCAACAAAGAAACAAGAAGACAAGAACAATAAATAAATAACAACTCAGCAAAAATACATTTGATTACAAACAGAACAACAACAGAGAGGCAGGCAGGCATGCATGGTATTGTTACAATGGGTTGATGGGGCGAGAGAGAGAGAGCGCACACACATGAGCCCCACACAACACAACACATCATGAGTGAGAGATATCAATTTCATAAATAAACAGTACTCTCGCACTTGCTCCCTCTCTCTACCACCGCACAATCTTTTGCATTTGACAAGTACAGAAAGGCAAACCAACCTACCTTGATATCAACGTTATGAACAGCAGACTCCAATGGGTCCAAAGCAAATTGAAACGCATTTTTGTTCACACAATAAGATGCTGAAGAATAACAACAACACTTAATAGATTTATTTTAATAAACAATAAATGATTTGCTTAAACGATTGCATTTTCTTGGCGTTTCACATATAAATTTGCAATTTTTTATGTTGTATCTTTTTTTCTTCGCCTTCCTCTTCTCTCACTCTCTTACACCAACATACAATCACTCACTATCCACTTTTATTTTTTTCTTTTCTTGATTTCACTGTTAAAACGCATTCACTTTGGCCAACTACCCGTATATTTTCATGATTCTCGTATATCTTGCCACAGCCATTAACATTTAATTTATTTAATTTTTCTATTAAATATTATACAATTTCTTTGAAATTAATAAAAACAAAAGAAAATTTTATAACATTCGACACGACTAACAGGCACACACACACGTCGAGTTACTTAGTCGCGTTTTGTAGCCAACTAAAATGTCAAATAAAATAAATAATAAAAAGAAATTCTGACAGTTTATTAGCAGGCAAAAAACGAATGTTGGAAGAGAGTGTGAGAGCGTTGAGAGATGGCAATAGTGTGGGGGGAAAACGATTGCATGTTTACGATTTGTTGTGTTATCGATAACAGAAAATACAAATTACTGACGTGTAGTTTTGGCTAGATTTTAATTGTGACCTTGTAGATGGCGTTATCTTTATGATAGATAAATTATCGTAATAGATAAACGAGATTGTGGAAACAAAGCGTGCAGATGGCCATACGAAGAAGACCTAAAGCTCTTCTATACGAAGAAGACCTAAAGCTTTTTTATACGAAGAAGACCTATAGCTCTTCTATACGAAGAAGATCTAAAGCTCTTCTATAAGAAGGCCTATAGCTCTTCAATACGAAGAATACCTAAAGCTCTTCTTTACGAAGAAGACCTAAAGCTTTTCTATACGAAGAATACCTAAAGCTCTTCTAGTGGAAGACTTAAAGCACTTTCATAAGAAGAAGGCCGTTAACTCGTCTCATTTGGAAAAAAAATCTTCGCCTCTTATAGAAAAAAGAAGACTCTTGCAGACCTTTCTGCACCTCGATCCGTCAGACTTTTGTCGATGTCGGAGAATATGGTTCATTCGACGACGATATTCGGCCCATATATCTTCCGAAGAATTTTTCTATCAAACACTCCAAGAGCTGCCTCATCTGCTTGGGCAAGTACCCATGCTTCAGGTCCATACAACAGCGCGGGTAGTATCAGCGTCTTGTAGAGTGTGTGCTTTGTCTGGTTAGAGGTGGTTTTGCTTTTTAGTTTCTTACTCAGACCATAGTAGCATCTGTTGGCCAACAGTATTCTTCTCCGGATTTCTTTTGAAAATACGTTTTTTTCTCTCTCCATTTCTCCCTATAATTCTATCTCGTCCTATACATATCAGTAGCATTACGCCATTTAGTTCATTAAAGAAGGAGAATAACTTCACTTCTTCCAGAAAAAGACCTACAGCTTTTACTGATGAAGGCCTTCAGCCTTTCTATAAGAAGACTCTTCTCGAAGAAGACCTAAAGACAAAAAGATCAACAGCACTTCCAAAAAAAATCTTATTTATCGGTAATTATCGACACGATTTCTAGATACCTATGCAACATACAGAGATATACAGTTTGAAAGTGACTGTTGATGTTATTAATTCATCGTGAATTGGAATGTTTCTCCAAATGAAGAAAGAAGAAGCATTATTCTCGCAATTCTCCATTCCACTCTCATTCTAAACAATTGGGATTGTATTATTTTGAACACAACATTCGGATGCATTCTCCAATTTTGTTTTCATCATTATCTTCTTTTATAGCAAAAAAATCTAGCGCCTTTCACTTTTCTTATGGTTGTACGTTCTTTGATAAAGCTTGCATGTTCATGCAAGCTAGAACATTGTGAAATTCCCTGTAGAAGAACTCTTTCAAATTCTCAGTGAACAATGAATGACAAATCAACTTTAATACATTGGTTCCGGAAAGGGTTGCGGGTTCATGATAATCCTGCATTGACGAGGATATTTGAAAAATCCCAAGGAAATCCAACCAAATATTCCATACGTCCAATATTTATCCTGGATCCCTCACTGCTTCAATGGCTGAGGGTCGGAGCAAATCGTTGGAGATTTTTACAACGAAGTCTTGTGGATTTAGATAAACAATTGGTGGCGCTAAATAGTCGCCTCTATGTGGTCAGAGGTAATCCGAATAATGTCTTTCCACGGCTCTTCAAGGAATGGCAAACGGAGTTGTTAACATTCGAGGAGGATATTGAACCATTTGCATTAAAACGTGATGCCGAAATTAAGGCCATGGCTCGCGAGCACAATGTAGAAGTGGAAACGTTTTGGTCCCATACAGTCTTTAATCCGTATACGGTAATGCAAAAGAATATGGGCAAGGCTCCGCTGACCTATCAAAAGTTTTTGGGCGTAATAGAGAAAATGAAAGCGCCCGAGCCATTGGATGTGCCAGAGAAGTTGGAAAACAAAAATGTCAATAAAGATTCTCTTGAAGAGAAGAATCCAAATTGTTACGATGTGCCTTTGCTGGAGGATATGGTTAAAAATATGGCTGATTTGGGGGAGGAGAAATTTCCTGGAGGTAATTAATTTTAAATTTTCTAAAGTGATTATGTTGTTAGGTCATTATTTATTTCAGGTGAATCGGAGGCATTGCGGCGCATGGAAGCCAGTTTGGCAAACATTCCTTGGGTAACATCATTTGAAAAACCCAACACCTCACCAAATTCCCTGGAACCATCAACAACAGTATTAAGCCCCTACCTGAAATTCGGTTGCCTTAGCTCAAGACTATTTCACAAGAAACTATCTGCCATCCTGAAGGCTCATCCAAAACACTCCAAGCCCCCAGTATCCCTTATGGGCCAGCTATATTGGCGTGAATTTTATTATACCGCAGCCACAGCAGAACCCAACTTTGATCGCATGATGGGCAACAGCATCTGCATGCAAATTCCATGGCAATGCAATGATGCCCACCTGGAGGCATGGACATATGGTCGCACCGGTTATCCCTTCATTGATGCCATTATGCGCCAGCTTCGCCAAGAAGGATGGATACACCATTTGGCCCGACATGCTGTTGCCTGCTTCTTGACACGCGGTGATTTATGGATATCTTGGGAGGAAGGACAAAAAGTATTCGAAGAATTATTACTGGATCAAGATTGGGCCCTCAATGCCGGCAATTGGATGTGGCTATCGGCTTCGGCATTTTTCCATCAATATTTTCGTGTCTATAGTCCGGTGGCATTTGGTAAAAAGACCGATCCCACTGGGGCTTATATACGTAAATATGTTCCCGAATTAGCAAAATATCCAGCCGGAGCTATATACGAACCATGGAAAGTCGCCTTGGGTGATCAGAGGAAATATGGTTGCGTTATTGGGACGGATTATCCGCATCGCATCGTAAATCATGATGTGGTGCATAAGGAGAATATTAAACGCATGTCGGCGGCCTATAAGGTTAATCGGGAGGTTAAAACGGGAAAAGAAGACCCGCAAGATGGTGGGGATGCAAAGAAGAGGAAACGAGAGGCTGGAAATGGTGGCAGTGGTGGTTCGAAAAGTAAGAAGGCAAAGAAATAAGGAGTATTACAATTTATGAAACACTTGTCGCCTGCAATTGAAATGCACTATTTTGGACCATGGAACTAGTTTTATGATAGATATACAGGAATCTCGAAATTGTTTTAAATTGATTTTATATTTTTTATGAAATTTGTTGGTATTTTGTAAATTTTTTATAACTTGTTATAATTAAGTGGAATTAAAGTTCCTGTGGAAGGAAAAATAAAAAAAAAATACGAAATCCCAGAGCTCTTTTATAAGGAATCGTAAAGCTCTCCTATAAGAAGTTCAAGAGCTCTATAAGAATATCGAATAAAAATAAATTAAATATCCACGAAGACCTAAAACTCATCTACAAGAGGGCCCAGAGTTCTTCTACAAACATCTTTATACCCTTCGCCCAACCGTGGTACTAGGAGGTTGCCAACTCCTAGGGGTGTTGCCAATCACCTACTATCCGTGTCTTCCCATCCGCAACGGGAAGTGGATTTCTACGATGTGCATGGTGGAGTTGAGTGACTTGGGGGATCTTCGGAAACCTTGGGGGTCTTCGGATTCCCCGTGGACCAAAATGGATTGGGGTAGTGCTCTTAAAAGATCAACTAAGCTGATCAAAAAGAATAGGCGAAATAATGTTACGGTGCAGGGAGTTAATAATCCAGTACCGGCAGCAATCGTTGGTAAGACCTCAATCCACGTGTCGTCGAGATTAAGCGAATGTGTGGATGCCTTGGCACCTGCAGCTGTACCTGCTACAAGCGCATCATGTTTACCTCCAAAAAAAGTTAACGGCCGGGCAATTCAAATGGAAAACGAGCTAGTCAAGACTGATGCTAATCAGTTTACGGCTGACAGGACTGTTGTTCTGGGAGGGGACGACCTACATGGGACCCTTAGTGCTATCCGCGACAGTCTAGAGGAACAGAGTACGGAACTCTTCGACCAACTGGAAAGGGTTGTACCGCAACGGTCGGAACTGCCCGAGATGCACTATATGTATCAAAGGAACTATATGGAGCAGAGGAACTAGTTCCTTTTTAAAAAAGGAACGAGAAAGATCGATCCACTAAGTGAACTAGATTGCCCAACTTTACTTCTGAGGCGAAGCCTCACCCCAGTCAAAAGGCAATGAAAAAGGCTGTTGAGCAAACCCAAACAAAAAAAGTGTCATCCATAAGGGTGATCGAAGTGTGGAGGGCTCTGCTCCAAGCCCGATTCTATGCCAATTGACAAAGGTGAAGCGGTTTGTGTTAGGCTTTGAGTAGCCCGATCGTTGGTCGGGCTAGGAAGAATGAACGATCATCTTCTGGGAGAGCGAATACTGCCCCGCAAAACAAATCTGTGAAGCTCATTCGCTCATCAGAAGGTCCATAGCATTCACCTAAGAAGGCGATGACTTCACGCCTGACTAACTCATCTACCTTGTATGTGACTGTCGTAGGTGCAACAAATTCCCGATTTCGGAATTTTGAATAGAGTACTTAATTCGGTCCATATTGATGTATGCGAAACTCCAAAGGGTCATCTGTAGAGAAGAATCTCTTGGAAGTATTCAAGAATCGTGGATTTTTTAAGAATATATTATTGAGGACCTGCTCAATTCTATTTTGTATGGACTCGTGATAGATATTTATGTTCATAAAAATAAAATTTTTATTCTTCATTTTTCACATTCTCATATTTACAAATCCTTATATCATCCGGAATGAAATCTCCCTCATTCTCCTCCAAATTGTAACGATATGTTGCACGATTTAACATTTTCGTGGGGAGGCATATTTCAATATCTTTAAATTTATAAATGCCAGTACGTTGTTCTGGCGGAACTTCTTCATATTGCAGAACTTCTTTATAGTTTTCAATGGCTTCCATATCTACAGTTCCTCCCATTGCAATTTCTTCATCCAGCCATGGATCAATGTCAATGGGTGATATCATGGCACCACTGAAATCTTTATATTCTATGGAATTTTCAGGATTTTTAGTCGTGGTGATCTGCTGGGGTAAATCTTCTTCATTGAAATTATCCGAATTGATATCGAATATTTGCAAATCCGTTGAGGCGGTTAGTTTGCTTTCCAGAGTTTTTTGAAGGGAAAGGGATTTGTTGGCTATTTTATTGGGATTTGGTATTTTTGACAATGTTCGAATCCTGGTAAGATAACGTAAATTGGAAATCATTGTGAAATGAATGAATATTTAATTTTTTCAGATAATAAATTTTCGAAATGAATTTTTAATTTCTAGGTTAGGCGAGTTTACTTGCGGCAATTTTTATCGTTCTCTTTTGAACTTGCTCCATGCGTCTATACAAGGCAATTCGGTTCCAAAAATTTTTTTATTTGTTGTTTTTTCACATTTAAATATATGTATATAAAATGTCAACAAATACGAAATACACAAAACGAATTGCCAGAAAATTGTCGGTACGAGCAATTTTTTTCCATTTCTATTCCCCTTGCCCCTCTCTCCTACAAACAAAGACTTGCCGCAAGTAAACTCGCCTAATCTAAATCAAGACTTAAGTCAAGAATATTTCTAGAGGAGAGAGACCGAATAGACATGAGTTCATAAGCAGAATATTTACCTTTTAAAAACTGTTGATAATATCCTTACAGGGCTATAAGTGAAAATGTTCGCAGGAGATGGAGGAAAGATTTAAAGTCGGAAAAATTAATTTAATATTGGAAAGGATGTATAATTCTATGGACCAGAAGACATCCATATCCGAAAGTATATAAGCCCGCAGTGAAAATTGTTATTGCCTGACGAATCCATATTTAACTTGAACATTTGTCTTTACTTACAGTCTATTTTAAATTCTCCACTTAAAGAGCACTTGGAACTAGCAATGAATCCTGCACATATGGTGCAGTATGCCCACGTACCCCCACACACAGATTCAATTTACCAACAACATTTCATTACATTACATGACATATGATTTACATCAACACATTGTATTTTTTTTTCAACCTTGAGAACTTTGGAACATACGACCGACAGACATGAAGACAGTCATACAGTTTGTCACGTTGTGTTCCGAAAAAACGCTAGTGTTTACATCGTTGAAAGCAACAAGCAGCTGTAATTTAGTTTTCATGGTTAACGAACATGGAACCAGCTCATCATGGATGCAGAAGTTCAGTACTACAACATGATATGTGATGAAGATTGCATGATGTCCTCATGAGGGAGGGAGAATTGAATTGAATACGAGAGCTCTGATTCTTTAAGGAATATATTTCAAGGACTTATACAAGGCGTGGATTTAATCATGACTAGCATATGCCCGCTACTTCATAAGCGAATGTGGAAAATATTTAGACATGTATTAACATATTATTTTATATCCACAGAAAACTGCATATGCCCGAAAAAACAAAACAACCCACACATTAATATCGACCATAAATTAAATTAATTCAAGCTCTAAAGTTTCACCCAAATACAAATTTTACCAAATTTAGTTCCATTTAGCACGTATTATTTCCATAAGAACCCTCCTCAACCATCCAACAAAACTTCCTCCATACCCCGACACTACACCCCTACAATGATTTCAAATTCTACTCAAACTCAAACTAAACCTACAACCCGACATTTATCCTAAATCCAAGTTTAAGGATTCCAACTCTACCGGTTCACCACAATTCAAATTGTAGCAAATTTAGTACACAGTAGTTTCCAAAACTTCCTACATACCCCAATCCTAAGCCCCCACAGTGATCCTAAATCCAAGTTTCAGGATTCCGTAGTACCAATTTCCAAAATTTCCTACATACCCCAGTCCTACACCTCAACAGTTATCATGTCTCCAAATTTCATGTTTCCAGCACTATTGGTTCACCTAAAATTCAAATTCAAAAACAAATTTAGTACCATTTAGTACCCATAAGTATTAATTTCTTAAACTGAATTCTGACCCCAGTCCTACACCCCTACAGTGATCCTGACTTCAAATTTCATTGTTCCTGCTCTATCGGTTCACCCAAATCCAAATTGTACCAATTATAGTACGATTTAGTACTTTTCGTACACATAAGTAACAAATTTTGTTGCGTGCTAGGCCCCACGGTTCAAAAATAAAATATAAATTATAAAAAAATAAAATAAAATTGCCGACAACAGATCCGCGACGTTTAGATCGTGGCTGCCGGCAAATAAAAAATGAACCGGATATGCTTGGCTGAGATCTAAGAGGCAAGTGAACAGCGTTGCAAAAATGTGGGAGTAAGGTTTGCCAATTAGTGGCAACGTAACGCATATCATAGACCTATCGAGAATACAACCCTGTAATGATCGTAATAGGTCTGTACAGGGCAACAAAGCAAAAAAAGATAAATGTCAGGAAAATGCGGGAAAATTTGGGAAAGTGGGAAAATTTACGATGGCGGCGGGCATATAAAAGGGATAACGGGGGAAAAATCTGGCAGAAGTTTTTTTTGGTGTTTCGGCTGAAGACATATTAACCAACAGTTTTTTTTTGCAAAAAAATATCCCCTTTTTTTTGAAAAAAAAGTAACAAAAACGACAACAGTTTTATTTGTGTTTTTTTTAAATAAACACTTGTGTTTTATTGTATTTGCTGCTTATGCATTTGTGCGAGCAAAATAATGTGAGTAGTGCGAATTGTTAGTGTGTTTTTATGATGTTGAATGTTTTGTGTTGTTTTTGGTTTTTATTTAAGACGTCGCCAAGATCAACTGCAACAATCAGTAAAACGTCCACTGACCCCTCCAAGTCCTTGTACGGAGGTGGTCAGCAAAAATTTGAGGAATTTGTTGGGAATATATAGACGGCAGGAGGTGTCATCCCGGCCAGAATAGCCTGCGATAAGTGCCTTCGCCAACTGCTCCAACGGCAAACCTAATTGGGGGGTAATGGCCAACAAAATCCTGGTGTCCAGTTGCCTATTGAAATGCGAGATCTGAAAAGAAAAGATGAAACTATAAGTATATGGAAACCAGGTAACCTTTTATGCACTTAAATACTCACCGGTGTTGAGCCTAAATTTA